GTCGTTGCTCCTGCGCAGCCATCCAACTTTAAGGACGAACATCCTACGCGAAGAGCAGAAGTGACTAAGACTAGGGCACCTGTTGCGGCTACGCCTGTAACAAAAATGCCCGCATTGCCAATGGAATGTTTTCCAAGTAGTTCACTCTCCCTCTCTCTCTCTCTCTCTCTCTCTCTCTCACACACACACACACACACACACACACACACACACACACACACACACACACACACACACGAAGATGGTGATGGACTCTCTCTCTCTCTCTGGTTCACGCACAAGCTTGCAGATTTTCCACTTTTTTTTTTGTTCTTTTTAATTGGTCACGATGGACCATCCTGCTCAAGCCCGTGTCTACTCCCTCTCTCTCCTGCCTTGCTGTCCCCTCTCTCTCTCTCTCTCTCTCTCTCTCTCTCTCTGCGCCTTACCTCTTGCGGCTAAGTACGTGCCCCCTTCGCTTTTTTTTCTTTTCTTCCCGAAATCGCTTGTGTTTCAGGTTTCTTTTATTTTCGAAATCGCCCATGCTTCCCTTGTTTTTTTTTTTTTCCATTAATTTCCGTCTTTTTTCCTGTCTTTCTTTTTTAAAGGTCTTGATCGACCACGGATCAGATATGAAACTGACCGGAACAGATACCACACCCGATGGTGGGGGGATTGTCGAGTCTCTCTCTCTCTCTCTCTCTCTCTCTCTCTCTCTCTCTCTCTCTCTCAGTGTGTGAGTGTGTGTGTGTGTGTGTGTGTGTGTGTGCGTGTGCGTGTCCCCCTCACGCATTTCTTTTGGACCATGGATCAGATAGTACACTTGATCGTTTGGGTGGGTGGGGAGGACGCCGGCGCATAGTTAGTTAGATATCTACCTCCCTCTCACTCTTTCTCTGGTCTCTCTCCCGCGTCTTGGGCGCGTTTGTTTTATTTTTCACTTTTTAACCGTCTCTATAAACCACGGAACTGATCGCAGCAGATACTGTACTTGTGGGGGGCAGAGGAGGGGGGGTGGGACGGACGTGCAGTCGGTTACAATGGGTTCTCTCTCTCTCTCTCTCTCTCTCTCTCTCTCTCTCTCTCTCTCTCTCCCTCCCTCCCTCCCGCATCTTGCTCATGTGCATATAAACCATCTCTCCCCATGGACCTCGGAATCAGCTATGAAACTGATCGGAGGTATGAAGGTACAGATAAGACACAATGGTGGTTTTTTCTTTTTTTTTTTTGGGGGGGGGGCGCGTAGGTACTCTCTCTATCTATCTATCGCGCGCGCGCGCGCGCGCTCTCCTTTTTCTTATTGGTCCCAATGGAGCACGGATCAGTCAGGAAACTGGTCGGAAGATATGAAACTCATCGGTAGACTTGATGGTGGTGGGCAGAGGAGAGGGTCGTTGTTAGTTCTCTCTCTCTCTCACACACACACACACACACACACACACACACATGCGCAGACACATACGCACTCTCTCTCTCTTAGTTCCAAGACCACAAAAAACGAAAGCAACAGACACGAATAACCAACTCACCGTCAGTCATCAAGCTGCGATCGTTCGAAAGCCTTGACGCTGCACAGCTCAACCAACATTCAGGATGTAGAGATGGTGTGTCCTGGGTGAGTGTGTGTGTGTGTGTGTGTATGCATGTGTGTGTGGGTGTGTGTGTTCTGTGTGGGTGAGTCTGAGTATGTGTGAGTGTTGTTATGTTCGCTATACAGAACTAACAAAATGACTCAGCCAGACTGTTTCGTTGGACTTCCACCGACTCCTTAGGAGGTTGAACCCCGACAGCCCGCCCAGGATGAACTGTACTGATGCCCAAGGACTCACCACGTTTGCGTGTGTGTTTGTGTTTGTGTTTGTATGTGTGTGTGCGTACGTGAGTGTGTGTGCGTGCGTGTGTGCCTGTGTGTGTGCACGCGTGCGTGTGTACATGTGCGCGTGCGTGTGTCCAACGTAGAGCGAAGTCGTAGTCGTGCATAGCAGCGTAGAAGTAAGTCGAAGTCGAGCGACGTAGCCTACGGTATGAAAAGTCGAAGTCGATTGGAGGGCAGGCGCAGTGTGGGGGCGCTTTTTCCCGCATCGCATCCAATATCGAAAAGTTTTGTTACGTGCGGGCGCTTGGCGCTGGCCCGGCAACGTCCCGACAGTACCAGTGCTAGCGCGGGGGCCCAATACCCTGTGTGGTACCAGCTCTGGTGCGTGGGCCCGGTATCAAGCGTGGTGCTGGCACTGGCGTTCGGGACCTGTACTGGCCCTGCCGATGCTTCAACTTCTAAGAAAAAACGATCAGCAGACAACCAGGGCCGTCGCGCAGCAAAAAATCGGAGGGTCCCGATCGTCCGCTTGTCACAGGCAAGAGCTTAGCTATATATCGTCAAATAGAACTGCCCGGTAAACCGTAGGCAGAGAGGGAAGCGATATGGACAAACCAGTGGATGACACTTAAGATGCACATGGGAGAAAAAAAGAAAAAGAAAAAAAAAAATCATGTACAACCAGAGTAATCACGCCGACGGTCAGTGCCCCTGGATTGGTCCGGGTCCGGGGCTGACCAGCCGACCGTCGCACTGGTCGGCACCTGTCTCTTATACACATCTAGATGTGTATAAGAGACAGGATGAAAACTGAAAAAGAGAGAAAAACAAAGAGCAAAGCAGAAAGACTCTAGATACGACAAATCTGCAATTAACTTGATGAAAATAATTTCCGGATCAATTACGGATATAGAGGCCCTGCGGAAAATAGGGTTTTTTCCAGGGTAGTCATGCCGACAGTCGGCGGCCCTGAACCCGTCAGCAGCTGACCAGCCGAAGGTAGACTCCGTCGGTGCCGACCGGTCGGCGGCTGGTAGGCACCCCGGAAAAAAAAGGGGTCTACAACCCTAAATAACCCCATCTACACCCCCATAGCCCCCGTCTTAACCCTCTACAACCCCCCTATAGACCCCCAATA